AGGGCTCCGAAAGCGTCGGAGCTAGTGAGTCCGCTGCCACAGAGGGCTCCGAAAGCGTCGGAGCTAGCGAGTCCGCTGCCACAGAGGGCTCCGAAAGCGTCGGAGCTAGCGAGTCCGCTGCCACGCATGGCTCTGAAACCGTTGGGGCTAGCGAGCCCGCGACCAAGGAGGGCTACCGATCCGTCATCAAGCCAGGCGGGTACGCCCCTGAAATCAGCAGACGTTTCCGTCATCAAGTGGAAACCCATCACCGCCGTGGCGGTCTCGTCACACCTCCACAAGGCGAAGCGCGGAGTCGCCGACTGGCCTCCACAAGACGAGGCGGACGTCTCTTACGCGTAAGATGCCATTTTTTGTTGAGGCCATCCATTTTTGCGAGATAAATAGTAGTAGTTTTTCCCACCCAATATTCCAATCAGCGACACCCACCCTGCTGCCCGCCCGGCAAGTCCCTGCCGTCAACCCGTACGCTTCTTTTTTTCCGATCTTCAGCCGCTCCATCATGTGAGATGTAAAGGGTTGCTACACACTCCTGGGCAATCACGCCTATTGCCTTTTGTAAAAAAAAATAGGGTCTGGTTGACATTGGTCCAGTTGGCACAGGTCTAGATGGCACTGGTACGGGGCAAATACTTGGGGAAACTGGCAATCAACGTCTGGCCTTCGCGATTGGAGCAGTCGACGCCAACATAAGTTTGACCGGGGCACGCTTTGTCCCGAGCAACAGACCAATTCGAGATCATGCCAATCTTCTTCTCCTGCCAGTGAGCCACGTTCGTCTTCGCCGCCTCCAATGTATACGTCAGACATGTGCTGTCGTTCATACCAAGCATGGGAGTGCTTCCCACGTAGTGGTACACATCATCCTGACTGCTCCAGCCGTATTGCTGTAGCTTGCCACGGGCATTGGCCAGATCATAGAGCTGCTTAGTTAGGTAATCGATAGCGTCTCTCTCGCACTTGTCAACGACCTCGGCAGAACACATGGTAGGGCACTCTCCGTAATCCATATTCATCACATTGATGACATCAAACGGAGCATCCTGATCAATCACCTGTGCAAAGAAGTTGCTGCCGTCCAAAATAAGATCGATTCATTCCAGTAGGCCGATGGTGAGAGAAGGCTTCTCTGCTTCATTCAAGTACTTTGGCCTTGTACAGTGCTCCATCAATATGCGCCTGTATCCCTTTGGTAGCGTAAATTGCGCGACCATCCCAGGCGCAAACTTCCGAGCAATCTTCACCAATATCACTCGCACCAACCCAGGTAGTGGCCTGGTAGGTGTTGTTATCTTTGTAGACCTTCCAAAGTTCGCCCACAGGAGGATTACCCGACGAGTTCAATACAGAGAAAAGAGTGTAACCAGCGAATTGATGCCCCGAGACAAAAATACGTCTTTGCTTGAGACGGCCCCACTGAGCTGAATAGCTCGAGACCGGGCGTGTCTGGGTAGCATCAACCTCGTCAACCTGCAGACCCAACGTCACCGGCCTCTCCTCGCCCTCAAGCGCTCCCTCGCTCTTTCGGATACTCATTATAAGCATTGGTGGGGTAATCGTGCCCAAATGTTCGGTCGCTCCTCACTTGGCGTGATCCATGATAATGTAGCGGGACCTAGCCGGGACCTGAACTTATGGACTGTTATGACGCCCTCTGAACTGTTTCCTGTCCGCGGCACCATTCCAAGCTTCGGTCCAGGCGAACACTCTCGTACGTTATCGGACCCATGTGATCGAGACTCACGAAGGTCAGGGCCGCCGCAGTGTCCAAGTGTTCCATCTCGTATCTACGCGTGGGGGAACGCGGTTGCTTCAGTCGAGCGCATATCAAGCAAGACTTCACAAAGGCTGCCACGTCAGCCGGCATGCCTGGCCACACAAAGTACTGCGCTACTATTCTCGCGGTCTTTGTCACACCCATATGTGCTCCTCCTCGTCCGCAGTGCAAGCTGCGAATTACTTTCTCTCGTAGAGCCCCGGGTATGTAGCCTCGACCCGTCGCCGCTTCCACAATCCTACCGTCGCGCTCTACATAACCTTAGGCCCTCCTCCTGGACCGCACGCCTCACCTCAGCCACACTCGGCAGATCTATGCCCGCGTCCGGGGTACTCGGGTATCCCACCTTCGCTCTGTGTCTGACAACTTACGGCTTGTATACTCCAGGGGTACTTCTTGGCCGTCTTGCTCCTGCATGAGCGCTGCTCCCATCCCCACTCCGGAGCCATCCGTGCATACTTCGTACCGATTTCCTGGCCGTGACGCATGTAACGCTGCGGTATTCGTTACTGCTTGCTTGAGACCGTCGAAGTCTAGCTGCAGTCCATCTATCCATTCGTACTGGACGTTCTTCAGGAGCTCACACATCCTCGCCGTATGTTCCGCATACCTCGGTATGAGACTACGCAAGTAGCCCACCAAACCGACAAAGCTCTGGAGTTCAGCCTTATTCGTCCGCGGCGCAGCCTCTGTTACACTCTTTACGGACTTATTATGTACCTTGATCCGCACAACTACCGAGACCTTGATCCCCTTGATCCCGTCTTGACCTACTTAATAACCCACTAGTCGACAGTCAGCTTCATCCACCCCGACTTGTCGCGTCGAAAGTAGAATTTCTAGCAGAGGTGAGCGTACGCTGCAGGACTTTCTCCAAAAAAAGCGCTAGGACCTCTTCCTTGGTATCACCGCAGACAACCACGTCGTCAATGTATAAAAACATATTCTTGCCAACGAGATCTCCGAACACGTGATCCATTGCGCACTGGAACGCCGTCGGAGAATTCTTCCATTCACTCTTGCTAGGACGTATGACACCCAGCGCCAGCTGTCCCTCGATTTGTCGGCTCAACTCTTCCCTCTGGCTCGGTTCGTAATGTCGAAGTCTCGCTTTGAATGGTCTACCTCGAGCTTCACTTTGCAACCAACACGATCAACCCGCGGCGCGAGCCATGCCTGCTCGCACTTCGACACCAGCGCCCACAATAACTCGCGATCCTCTTCACTCAGGTGCTTCGTTCCTCTACGGCCTTTTTTTGAGCTAGGCGCTCCTAGAAGTCTACATGGTAGACATCAGTCTCGTCCACGAACATCCGGTAGTCCTTGAAGCTTAACAAACTCATCGTATCTGGGTTTACCGCCACGGGGTAGTCTACTTGACGCGTCCGATCATTGACTTCGGTGACCACGTTGTCGTGCACAGGCAGTAACGATTTCCCCACCACCGTGTTCGCTTCCATGAACCGCTCCGGTCGACCAGCTCGGCATCTGCAGCCGCCTGGGGATTGAGTACGCTGATCTGTGCTCCAGTGTCCACAAAGAGGTCCAAACTACGGCCCTGTGCTGTTAGCTCCTCTTCGCCGCCAACCGCGTCCACGCCGTTTCACTCCCAGGACCGAGCCTGAATCAACCAACTCTAACAGTTCATGTCTTCTACTAGTCCTACCACCTTCTCGCGGCGCGGCTGGTTCTTAGACGCGACCTCCCTCAGAGAGGGTAGCATTCCGCAAGTCCGCCGTCGTAGGCACGATACGGTCCGCCAAGAACCTGATTAGTGATATTTCATCGACTGTTGCATACTTTTAGTAGGCCCTGGAAACTTCAAACTCAGCCTCTGTCTGCGCCTCGAAGGGGGGTAGATTCACGTCCTGACATTCCTTACGTATTCCTCATGGGTCTCTGTTAACCCGTTTCGTCCAAAGAAACCCGGGCGACACTCAAACTGTAGGCCTGGGGCTATTACATCGCCGGTCCCTGCCGACACCGCCCGTTCTGAGCCGAATAGCTCATGGTTCGAGACCGGGCATGTCTGGGTAGTATCAACCTCGTCAACCTGCAGACCTAACGTCGCTGGTCTCTGTAGCCTCGCCGTCAAGCGCTCTGCAGCGCTATGTCTATCCGCCCGAGACGACGTCCGACCGGCCCTGGGACTTTTTGCAAACGCGTAACCCATTCAGCCCGGAGACCCGAGTCCAACTCAACTGGCGGTATCGGCATGGACCTGTTGGGCTGTCTGAGGTTACGGAGCAATACCACCCGAAGCTAGCCTCACGGAGGAGGGCCGCGAGCAGCAGCATGCCGTGGGAGGCCACGAAGCGAGTCGGGCCGAAGAGAGGCCCATGCGAGTCGCCGGACGTTGGGACGGCGAGGA